AGTAAACGTGTGAGATTGAAATTTTTTAAAGATATTATATGAGATTGCAATTACACCTAAAGCGAAGGAGGCAAACTATAATTTACCCAAAATAATAACAAATGGCGAAATTTGAATGAAAGTATCACTGCTACGTGGTACTACTGTACTACCTAATAATTTCTCTTATTAACAAGCCACTTATCTTTCGCATGACTTTCACCTAATCTAGTGGTATTTCTCCTAATAATTTCTCGTATTTTCTAATATTCCTCATGCCCTTATCTATTTTTATCTGTGGGGATCTCTCTCCCTCTACATTTATGCTACAACAAAGTTGAGTTTAAAGTGTTTTTCTTTAAAGTGTTAAGTTACTAAACACTTGCACGTAAAAAGCCTCGCAAAATTTAGCTACAACATGCCTAACATTGTTAATAAGAACAACCTTTTTGCTGAACTTTTTTGGCTGCATTCTGTTTTTTCCACAAAGATTATAGTAGCTAGGTAACAACTCTTATTTTGGATTTACCTTTTTCGCCCATTCATTCATTTGTAAAAATTTCTTTGGCTTTTCAACTTTTCAACTAGTATTAAGGATTCGCTGGAGACTTTGGCCCAATTTGATTTTTTTTTTTTTTTTTCATCAAAAATTACTTCACTTTAAAGTTAAGCAGTAAAAAAATATTTGGTAAAAATAAAATATACTATTTGTTAAAACAAATGACTTCCTGACCGCAGCCTATAGGAACTGCTTTAATAGAGTTGAGTCTTTAGAATATTTTAATTCATATGATAAGCTCATTAACTTTAAACAATGACATTATTTATCCTTCTAGACACTACTTTTACACTGTTTTTCATACTCACAATACTTTTAAAGATGTTTATCAAACGCTCAACTGCTTTATTTTGCAGCTAATTCTTCTTAAAGCACAGCAAAAGCAATTTATTAAAAACACTTTTTTTCAATAAACACTTATTTAAAAGTGTTTTATTATAAACATGTAGAAAATTTTATTACAAACAAAGGTACTAATCATTCTTCATGGAGAGATTCACCCAACTGCTTAACAAACTAATCATCGTTCTGACAAGCTTGTTGATGTGACAATTCTAGCCAATACGACATATGTCACAACCAAGGTTTTAAAAAACGCTAGACGCTAGTTGGGCGGCGGGCTGGGGCCTAGCGCCTAGGCTGCTAGATGGGGTCTAGGCGAGTGCCTAGGCGAACTAAGCGGATTTAAGTAAATCTAATATATTTCGTGTAAATAAGTGTCTGTTTATACTTAAAATATATATAATTTCATCATAAACTACAAAATTGAATGACATATATATTATGAAGTATTGGAACATAATGAAAACATGGGGAACAAGCATACAGTGTGTGTTCATTTAATTATTTAGCAAGTCTCTTACAATTTATTGAAAAAAATAAAATACAAAATGAAAAGTTATCTATTTTCTGTCTAAGTAAGTCACAACCTAAGCCGGTGCTTAGGCGGGTTTGGGCGGATTAGGCGGTCTAGATGAATGCCTTGTCAAGTCTAGGTGCCCTTGCTTAATTTTGAAACGCCTAGGCATTAATCGAGACGGTGGCCAGCCGTCTAGTGCCGCCTAATACAAAGGTCACAACCCGACCCAGACTGTGGATCAGGTATTCGTACGGGTGATTTCCGTGCCAGAATCAGCTCCAATTGCAGTTGGGGTGATTTCCGTGCCTGAACTAGCTCCATTTGCAATTGCGACCTTCTAAAGACCATCTTCCTTGCATCCTCTGAATTAACAAGAAGAAACTTTCATCATTATAGATGACTAGATGTTAAGGCTCATTCAACAACCATTCAATTTACAACTTGTTAGTTTTAGAAATTTGCTTGGTAAGTGTTTAACAAAAATTGAAAATTGAAAACCGAAATCAAAGCATTATATTGAAAACACACTCACAAAAATAGCTTTCAGCTTATTTTTTATTTTTAAGTTATTATTTGATCTTGTGAAATATTGGCAAAGACTAATTTTGATGATAACAATAGCAATACAAGGAAGGGAACCATTTTCATTAGTAAAGGTATAAAGTTTGGCTCCTTCATTTCCCTAGCTAAGCAAGTAAGCTATATGTATAAATGCGACCCATTAAGTCATCCACAAAACTTCCACATAATTTCGAGATAATAAAATAAAACTGTCAAAATCACGTGTTGATGAAATTATGCAAAACGAAATTTCTTCTTGTTATTATGTATGAGGTTTTCAATGTCGAAAGTGATCTCTATGCCAATGCCTCATATATTATGCAATTAAGGATCAAAGAAAATAAAAGCAAAGTCTGAATACTGGACCAGAAAATACGAGCCTGTCACACTACCAAAAATTATTATTTGCTCAATGAATAAAATTTGGTCAGGTATAGTGTTTTCACCCGACGAAATTTCAGTTGGTCAACAAAAATCATCAACGTTTACGGTTTTGTCAAAGGCTGTGCATGACAAAGTCATTCAGTTGGACAAGTCAGCTTTTGTCGAGCAAACATTTGGTGTCAAGGAAAAAATGGCACGTAGGGTGTGAAATCTTGCCCGACGAACCTCAAAAAGTTTTGTCGCATGTAAAGGCTTAATTAGGTTTTAGAGTTTAGGTTTTAGGTTTAGAATTTTTTTCATCATGTAAGTATATCCTTTGTTGACGTACTCTTTGATTATAATTAAACTTTATTCTAATATGTGTGTCACAGATGTATTATAGAATTATTAACATGTATGTTAATTTTGTGTGTTCAAATAATATCACCAAATCATAAAATCCTGTATCAACTATTGTTTAAGAAACTTCTACGATAAATCTGGACACATACACATACGGGACTCATACGTAGTGTTCTGTTTCTTTCGCAGGCAATATTTTATACTATTGTTAGTCATGATGAAGATAAAAATGTCAAAGTCACGAGTTTACGGAATTAAGTGATCACTTTCTCAATGATCCAGCTTGTGGCGGGGTAGACCTGCCTGCTATGTATAGTTCAGCATGGAAGACAAAGTTAGATCGGGCCAGAAAATAGGAGTCTGTCCTACTTTGAATCTTCCAAAACCAACTGATTAGTAATATTACTAATGCATGCATGCTCCATGAGGATCTGAAGAATACTCTACATCTGGAATTTTACTAACACATTTTTTTTTAAAATATTATTATTAAAGGAATGGAGAAAGTTTGAAACTACTACAATAACTAGAGTTTAGAGTTTAGGAGAAGCCCCAAACAAAGTGGTGTTCAATATTTATTATAATAGAGATATTGCAATGATGGAATGTAAAATGTCTAAAGGAACAACTTAATTGCTTTAATTTTTTCTTGTTCCAAGCACCTGCTAATATACGTACCAATTCTAACTATCCATCTGATTGACTATCACATTCCGACTTTGCCGTAGCACGATATTATTCGATTTGCGCCACACCTTCACATATTTGTTCATAGGCAAGAGAACCTCACTACCCAAAATGCGTTATGCTAGGAAGAGAGGGGCATGTACATATAAGGCCAGGGACCAACCTTTACCCCGTCAATGTGAAATACTACAATCCACCTCCCTTAGGGAGACCGACGTCCTCGTTGGCACATCTGAAAGGACGATGAGTCTGGCTCTGATACCAAATTGTCACATCACTACTCCGTCTAGCACAATGTTTTTTGCTTTGGGCCACGCCCTTACGAATTTGTTCCTGGGCAAGAGAACCTCACTACCCAAAACGCGTTACGCTAGGAATAGAGGGACATGTACATATAAGGCCAGGGACCAACCCCCACCCCGCCGATGTGGGATACTATAGCTTTCGGAAAATCGATTACTTATTATGCTATATCGAGTTTTCTTAAACCTTAGGGGTTAGTATGTTGATGAATAACTGTTTCAGTATTACTTATATATCAACTTGGTCCACTCATGTTTTGTTTTGTGCCTCCTCAGGACATAGAATCGAGGTGTACAAACCCGGCGTCAAGGCACTCCCGCATCGGCATCTTCGAGTCCTCTGGTGTACGACCCATCCCTTTGTTCGTTCAATTTTATATTATTCCTTTCTAGTGTCTCGGATTAGTTGTATGTTCTGAACACATTGTATGATCATTGTATTTAAATTTATAAGTTTTAATTATGTTTGTTACTTCTCTCACATGTTAGTATGAATTTGTTGGCCAGTATGTGCCTACCTTGGTGTTTGGAGGATATCAAGGTCGAGCGTGTCAGTGATGTTCCTTCTTTCTGTTTTGCAGGTTTAGACCTAAACTTTAGGTTCGTCTTTAGAAGGGTTAGGTTTCATGCCCCCCCCCCCCTCTTTTATTTTTTTTGTGTTTTTGTTGTTTTTGTTTCTAGAAGGATAAGATTTATGTCCTCCCTTCTTTTCATGTATTTTCTTTATCTTTTTTTCTTGTATTATGAGGGATTAGATTTATGTCCCCCCTAACTAGGTGTACTCTTTTTTTATATCAATAAAATTCTCCTCGTACCGTCAAGGTTTTCTATAAAAAAAATAAAAAAAAGTTAATAAATATTGTTATTCGTGATGAAAAAATGTCAAATCACGTGTTTTAGTTATGATACAGATTCAAAAAGAAATTTGTTATGAGGTTTTGATCTCCAATGTCCAACGTAAATTAATAACTTTGTCAATAACTCACGTTCAAGGAGTGAAGGACAACTTATATGGTGTAGGTTCACCGTGACATACAAGTTGTTATCTTCTCCTTCACCCTCATTTTTGGCTTCTAATTTCACATGCAACATGTTTACCTAGTTCAGATGTAATAAAGCCGCATTCCCATAGCTTATACATTAATGGTGCTGCTTAGATATACTATTAAAACTTAGTTGTGGAATCAGAAGTTTGGAGTCATGAATTATATTTGACTCAAATCCACTCCAATTCATCGAAAAAAAATAGGCGTTTTTTTGGAAAACTTGGCGTTACAAGAGAAATTTATTGAGATGAGAAAAGAAAAATTATACCTAGCCAAGGAGAGACATAAACCTTATTCATCATAAAGTAAGAACAACAAAATACAAGAAAAGAGGAAAGGATATACACCTTATCTCTTTTGAAAAAGAAAATACAAGAAAAAAAGACGGGAAAGACATAAATTTTACCCCTCTTAAAAAAGAAAATACAAGAAAAAGAGAGGGACGGACATAGGACCAAATCCCTCTAAAATAAAATTTAAAAGGTAAGAACCTGCAACACAAGCTACAAAACAAGAAAGAAAAACTCAAAAGGATTAGGTAAAAATGAAATTTGGATTGAGCTGGTTTAACCATTTTCCAACACATCAACAAAAAAAGCAACATTTGAAAAGTTATATATTTCAAAACATCTACTCTTCTCCCACGTTTCAATTCTATCAAAAAAAAAAAATTTATCGAAACATAAGAACTTCATCGAGTAAACCAACTTACATATGGTTCGATCGGTTTAATGCACACCCGTAATTTTTTGTTCTAGGCACTGGCCCATGATTAAAAGGATTTGGTACAGGAATCTTTCTCACAATATGCAGATGCAACCGGCTGATGATCTTTTCTGCTACATTTGCAATGACTAATGAACTTTCATTATTAACTAGTTAACAACTTCCGAATCATATATAGATGCTAATCAAACAACGATTTATTGTATGAGAGAGAGAGAGAGAGAGAGAGAGAGAGAGAGAGAGAGAGAGAGAGTACCTACCGTGCTTTGGATTTTCAGAAACGGAGAGAGAGGGAGAGTAACTACCGTGATTTGGAGAGTAACTATAATGCGATGTCTAAACGCATTTTTTTTTAAGTACAAGTAGTTGTTGACCTAGAACTACCCTAGTCAAGGGTTTTACCCCTTATCATTTTATGAGCTTTCCATGCTCAACTTTATAATTTGTTAAATTTTTATATTTCTTTCTTTTCTTTTTTTCCTTTTTTTTTTTTTTTCAGGAACATTTTGATGTGAAAAAAATTTATTTATATTATTTAGTTTTTTATGGATAAGTGAAAAATTGACATGTATTTATACAGTTTTGGAGAAGTTTTGGTGTTTAATCTGATTTGGATTAATTAGTAATATTATTTTGATTGTTAGATTTAAATGTGAGTTGTTGGATCTTTTTTATTACCGTTAAAATTGATTAAATTTGATTGAGCCATTAGATTAAAAAAAAATGAAATTTTAACGAAAAGCTCCTACTACTGTTCACTTTAATGAAAATCCATATTTTTACACTAAAAAATCAATCTTGGTATTATTCATTTTATCCTTTATTTTATCCTTATCATTAAAACTCAAAGTTCTCAAACTTTTTTCATTAGTTTTCCTTTAAAAAAAATGTAGCCGGGTACACATCACTGGTTCATAATTCAGGAGGTGCGACATCCAACGGTGACAACAGCTTGTGCATATCAACAGTAAAAACAGGGCTTACTATGAGCCTGCCCGCACTGAATCTTTCTATTATGTTTCTTCTGACCTGCAAGCCCGCTTTGGAGATAATTTGGACCAAAAACTTGGGTTTCATCCATAAACGTCCCACTCAAATTTACATCCAAACGACCACACAATTTCACAGTCAAAATCATGAGTTAATGAAATTGTGGAAATTTCTTCTTGTTTTTATGGCTGAGGTTTCCAAATTCCAATGTCAACATGTCCTATCGAATTAAAGCGGCAAGAAAACAAAACTGAAGTCTGCAGATTGGACCAGAAACAGAACCTGTCAATGTCATACTTTGAACCTTCCAAACCCCCCATCTAACTCATGACTAAGGGCAGTTCCACTATTGCTAAGATTTTCTTGGATTATTCACTATTTAATCTACTTATAAACAATAATTATTCTTAATAAACAGTAATTGTATTTTGCATGTTCATCCTTACATTGAATAACCTTGATAATTGGTAATAAAATATTTGTATATTTTTAAATAATAAAAAATAATTTATTTGTAATTTCAGATAAGATTTTTAATCCATCTCATTGTATCACTTTTTATTAAAAAAATTATTTTTATTTTTTTAATTTTTTCTTTTCACATGATGCAGCACACCATTCCAAAACCTTTGTTTTTTTTCACATGGTGCCAATGCACCATACCAAAACCTTTTTTTTATTATTATTATTTTCTTCTTTTCACATGCTGCCAACGCACCATTCCAAAAGCTATGTGTTTTTTTTATTCTTTCTTTTTCAAGCTCAGCAGCTCTCTCTCACTTAAGCTCTTGAGGGAGGGCCTCAAACTCTAACAACATCAATAGCCGATCCATGCAAAAATTTAATTTTTCCTTAGTTAAGTAGGTAAAGGATCACCAACTCCTTAGTTAAAATCTCTCTCTCTCTCCCCCCCCCCCCAAAAACAAATCCCAAATCGTGCGATCTGGGCGCGTGAGTGGAAGGAGAGGGATTGCGAGTGTGTGGAGGTGAAGGCGGTGTGGGGTGCAGCGACAGCTGCGAAGGAGGAGGGACTGGATCTCTCCCATTTATCTGTGGGTGTATCACCAGCCTTGGTGATGAACTCCAGCGAAAGCCGTGGAGTTCGAAGCCTCCGGGTTTTACATTTTTTTAATTTTTTTTTAATTTTTTAATTTTTTATTAATATTTAATATTTTTATTAATTTTACATTGTGGCTGACGTCTACCCACATCACATTGCTTTCGGGCGCTTGGGCCGGCATGAATTGACGGGCCTCTCGCTCGTTAGCATACGCTGGGCTTCATCACTCGGGCTACATGGCCCTGTTCCTACGCCTGTCCCTCGGGCTGGAGCACACGGTGGACTTGATCTAATGTATGCTCCTCACATTGTTTGTGAGGATGTGAGGAATATCCTACCTAGAGAAAGATTTTTATTTAGAGATGATGTTAGGGAGGTTAAATTTTTAAATCGAATGATGTGATGGTGAATGATTTGATTATTACTTAAATGTTTTTTTTACAAACGATATTATCTATACTAAGGGATACGAGAGTGGGCTAAGCCTTACAATGGGCTAGCAATAATGTGGTTCAAATTCACCGTTGGCGATAATTAAATCTCAGGCCTCTCACTTACTAGTAAAGAGGAATACCACTAAACCGTAGTACTAAGTGGCGATTATTACTTAAGTGTTGATTAACATGCTTATTTTCTATTAGTGACATCATTTGGTTTGCAAATTTTGGTTTAAAAATTAGGTCTTCCTAGCATTATCCTTTGTTAAGTATGATTTAAGCAATACTATGCATGTCATAATACAAGTGAAGCAAATGATATATTTTTTTGTGTCATTCTTCTTATTTTATAACACATGACGAACTTGCTTGAATATCGGATACTTGAAAAAATATTTCCTAACTTAGAAAGTTCAAAGATTAATATCAAGTACTAATTCTAAGTCGTGCATCTGTCACTTATAGAGAATACACTTGCAAGCGTAGTAGACTGATGATTAAGATGTGATTTCCGCATTAACTTTTATCTTCCACATACTCCTCTTTTTTATAGTCTTTTAGATAATTAATAAATCAAATCAATAAAGAGAAAACGACAGTGCAAAAATATACTACTTGTAATTAGGGGTGGCTTGGTTTGAGATAGCGAATCGAAATGGTTGGTACAAAAATCGAATCGCAATTGTTCGGGAAAAGAGGGCGAAAAACTGAAACCAAACCAATATTTCAGCTTTCTCGAAATTCGGTAATACCAAAATAGTTCAGCTTTTCAGTTCGGGCTAAAAATGGGCCTTCAAGTCAAATTTTTTGGGCTTCTGATTTTAAGCCCAACAAAACCTAAATTTTCCCAAAATTTTTCAACCCCAAATGTTAAGCTGTGGCCATATACTCATGTGCTCTATTCCTCTCCATTTATTGAGCAAAAACAATTCTGGTTTTTTTTTTTTTTTTTTTTGAACAAACAATATTATCTACACTAAAGGGAAGAGGGGTGGACTTAGCATCACTATGGGCTAGCAATAATATGGTTCAAATTCGCCTCTGGCAAGCATTGAACCTAAGACCTCTCACTTACAAGTGGAGAGGTATACCACTATATCGTAATACTAAGTGGCCTTTCAATTATTATAATTGCATCAATTTAATGAAAAAGTTTGCATCTTACTATGATCACATCAATTTAAAAATTCGTATAGCAAGGAAACAAATTGCTGCAATTGCATTAGTACACCATTACAGTACAGACCTCAACAATCCCCTTAACCATTACATGAAAGGACTAACCTCAACAATCCCCTAATGTCAAATCAAAATTTGAAACCCAAATTGACACTCTAATCCCCACTTCAGAACCCCAAATCAAAATCCTAATTTAAATATGAAGAATTAAAGGAAAATTTCTTAACTTGAGTGACTTGATAAAGAAAGAGTAAAGAAAGAGTTGGAGAGGAGTCGAGAAAGAGAGACGTGTAGTGTTGCGGGTGTGACGTTGCCGGAGTCGAGATCGACCGAGAGAGAGTCGGCGGAGGAGAAACACAGAGAGAGGTCAGGAAAGGGTGGGTGGGGCCAGAGTCGAGATCATATGGTTGGGGTTCACGTGGGCCGAGTCGAGAGAGAAAGAGAGACAAAAATCAGGTTACTATGTTGTGGAAGAATAGAAGAACTGAAGAGAGGAGAGTCGAGATAGAGAAACGGGTCAAGAGACTAGAGAGGAGTTTCGAACGAGAAAGAGATAGTTGTGGAGGTCACTGTGATGTGTGGGTGGCCGGAGTGGGAAATTGGGTTGCTTTTTCTTTTTTTCTTTTTTGGTAAAGTAAAGTTAATTCAAAGAACTAAAATATATACAAATCCCTCCTTCAAAGACCTAAACTAAAGGCATAAGCCCCACCCCATACAAACCCTAACACAACAAGCCAGAAAAAACAAAAAACCCCCAACTGGAATACCATACACAGCAGCCGAGGGAACTCGATGAAAATCAATCATCCATCCCCAAGGTTGCCAAAAGTGCCCCAATTTCGCACAATTCGAGTCATCTAGATAAACTCCACACTTCCAGTCGAAGCATCGGCACCCAAGGAGCTTCTAGATCGAGGCTCAGTCACCGAGGAGAACAATTGCGGCGGAAAAGTGGTGGTACAAAGACTCAAACATAATTGAAACTTCACCAGAGGAAATTTCACTTTTGAACTGGGTATCGAGAACATGACTAAGAACGAGAGTTGAAACCGAAAGATCGGATATATCTACACAGGGATCCAAGTCAGAAATACAAGCTATCCAGAAGGGACATAGGAGACAGGCCAAAGGAAAACGAAGGAGGAGGGATTGGGGCTGCCACCAACCCAAGCCACAGCTAGGATCAGTGGCAGCAAAAGTGAGAAAAAACTGAAGAACCAAGCTTGAAAACTAAAGAAAACAATCACACGCCGAAGAGAAACTCTCTTACAGAGAGAAAAGCCCTCACCAAAACCCGGGGGGGGGGGGGGGAGGGGGAAGAGAAAGTGGGGTCAAGAAGGATTGGTTTTGAGTCAACGATTAAGATAAATCTCAACCAAATCCGATAGACTATAAAAAATTAATATTCCAAATTAAAAGAAAATAAATATATATATATATATATAGATATAGGGTTCGGTTTGGTCTTATCGAACTAATCCAAGTTTCATGCCTAATAGAATTTTTCAATTTCGGTTCAGCTTTGGGTGCCAAATTTTTGGTATTGTCTATTCGATTCAGTTCGGTTTCGGTAGGTTTGGTTTTTTTGGTATTTTATTCCACCCCTAGTTGTAACATCAAATATTCCGCGGTTGTCTTTGATTCTCTCTCCCTTTTCTTTTTGGTCATGTGCCTACAAACATTATAAATATAAAAAAAAAAAACAACTATGTGGTGAACAATTGATAATAATT